GGAATACACAAAAGCCCCCAGCCCAGTGATAACAGCTGGGGACCAGGAGCGAGGAAGGGAAGGTTCTCCTGATGGACAGGTGCAGGGTCGAGGTCTTAAGACTAGGGAACCCTGCCCACATCGAGTGCACCCCCCCAGGGAGGGTGATGATGCGCGTGGAATGTGGTGTCCTCCTGGCATCCCTGCCCTAGTGAGCACAGCTTGGATAGGGAATGCAAGGGGACCACTGGCTCAGTGCCCGGGGAATGGTCCTCAGCGAAGGGCGAATGGTTGGGTGAGAGGGGAGAGTCTGCCCTCCTCCCCACCTAAGTGGCGCGGGAAGGAGGTGATGCTGGCATGTCACTGGTAGGGTGAAGGTCCCGCGCAAGCGCGCTGGGGGCGCTCAGGGAAAGGCGGTGGCTCTCCCGCAGGCTGCGTGTGCTCGCCGGCGCCCTGCCTTCACCTAGCGTGACGCGCAGCCTCACCGCGCCCCCTCCCACACGTGCGCAGCCCGGGCGGGGCGTTGGGACGTCGCGGGTGGGGGTGCGATGGCCACGTGGCCTCGCAGGAATGCGCGGGCGCGAGGGCGGGGCCCGGCCGGGAAATGGGCAGAAGCTCCGGCCAGTGGGCGCTCGGCACGGTGGGGATGCGCCAATTCCATCGTGGTGGGCGGGGCCTCCCTCCGGCGTGGGCGGGGCCTGGGCGCACGGCGGGCGGGGTACGGCGCGGGTGGGGGGCTCGGGACTGTCGGCGGACGCGGATGCGGACGCGGCGGACTTATTCCGGCCCCACGGTGAGTGCGGCCCCCGCGGCGGGCAGGGGTCCTGGGCGCGCCCGGCCTGGGCCTCTCGCGGGCTTTCTTGTTTGCTTTAAAAGTTGCGCGTCTGTCCAGCTCCTCTAAGTAGCTAAATCCCACCCGAGGTTTGCGGGATGCACGGAGTGCGGCGGGCAGCCCCCCAACTCCAGTGGCTCCCCTGGGGTCACATAGGGCAGTCTCCAACCCCAGTGACTGTCCCTGGGCACAGACAGTGACCCTCCAACTCCAGCTGGTGTCTCCAGACACGGGGATCCCTAACTCCAGAGACTGTTCCTGGGCACAGACAGGGAAGCCCCCGAACTCCAGAAGGTATCCCAGGAGCCAGAGACGGCGACCCCTCAACTCCAGCAGTGTCCAGTCCCTTCAGGACAGCTGTCCTGGGGCCAGTGTTCCAGGGCACTCACAGAGACTTGGGGTGAACCCACGTCCCACGGGACGCAGTGGGGCGGAATGTGAGGAAAAGCAGGTATTTGTGTGGGGATAATGATTGTCCACTGCGGAATGAGGGCCTGCAGGTCTCCTGCATTCCACAGCCCCCATTGCCCAAGAATGCAGGCAGGGTTTAAGAGGATTTGCTTGGTCAGCAGGTACCTTGTTACTCCACCTGGTTCCACTCTCCCCCCTGTGGGGCCCTGAAGTTTTGAACGTGAAAGTGTAAAAGTCTAGGTGAATGTGTGGGTATGGGGTACTGGGGATTGAACCCAGGGATCCACTGAGATAGACCCAGCCCCTTTTGAGTCAGGGTTTCAGGGTGTTCCTACTTTTCTGAGGCTGGCCTGAGGCTGGCCTTGAACTTGCAGGCCTCCTGCCTCAGTGTCTCGGGGATCACAAGTGCGGGCCACCTAGCCCAGCTGTTTGGGCTTTTAATGGGATGTCAGGTTCCCAGAAAGCAACACAGGTGCCTGGTGCCACCCACCCCAGTGTTCCTTTCCTTGCTTTGGCTGGAGGTGGAAGTTCTCATTGACTTCAAACAGAGGGCCCTGTGGTTGGGTGGCACCTAGAGCTGCGTTGGGTACAGGGGTTCCTTAGTTTCCCTGAGGGATAACATTTTTATATCTTGAAACCCATTTTTTAGAAAGTTCCTTCTACTAGAAGAGAAGATAACTGAGATTCACACTTTGTATATGTTTTAAGAAGATGCCCTGTCCCTCCACACTACCAGTGCTTATCTGATGGGCCTTGCTGCCAGCGCCTGCAGTTACATTGCGTGCTGCCACTGTTCACAGCCATGCAGGACTTCCTGACCCTGTGTGAGGTGCTGTTCACAGTTGCTGTCTCTCTGTACACACCAGTTGTGAGAGGAGCTGCGGACAGTGAGGGATGAGGCAAGATTCAGTTATTCAACATGAACTTTTTTTTCCAGTCTGGGTTGGAACCCAGGGCCTCCGCTTGCCAAGGCTCCACTGCCGACCACACCCCCAGCTCAAAAGAGCTTTTTATTGTTCAGAAGGTGTACTTTCTAGACGTCCGGTTTGTCACCTGGGTACTTCGCTGCCTCTCCTGTGCAGTTCTGTGGTGAGGTAGGGGCAGACCTTGGGAGCTCTAGACGGAGATGTGGCCTTGGGAAGCAACAGCCCTCTGCAGGACTCGGTGTGCCCACTGAGGACACTGCTGGGAGTTAAACTAGAGACCTTCTGCAGGTGCTGCAGCAGGGGGAACAGCACTGCGACCGCTTTAGTCTATAGGTAAAGTGTGCAGGCATAATAAAAAGGAGAGCCCATGTTGCCTGATAGAGCAGTCTTTCCCTCTTTCTTTCTCTCTCTCTCTCTCTCTCTCTCTCTCTTTCTTTCTTTGCGCAGTACTGGGTATTGAACCCAGGGATGCTGTACTGCTGAACTACATCCTGAGCCCTATCTATCTATTTACTTGTTTATTTATTTTTCAGTTTTGAGGCAGGGTCTGGGTTACCCAGGCTGGCCTCAAGCTTGCAGCCCTCCTGCTGTAGCTTCCCAGGCTGCTGGTCCCAGGCACGTGCAGCTGTGCCTGGCTGTACATCATCTTTCATTGCACAACATGCGATACCAAAGGATGCAGCAAGAGGTGTGGGTCTGGGTACTGAGAGCATGTTAATATTCATTCACACCCCGCGTGTGGATCGCCCAGGTAGATAGTAAGTGTGGTGAAGAGGGGAATGGAGCTCTCATCACTGATAGAATTTCACCTCTCATTAACTAAGCCTCCAGGGGTGCAGTTTTGGAAGAATGGGAGACTCTGCCGAGGGAAGGGGTGTTCCAGGTCCAAACCTGCTTGGCTTGGTTTAAGGTGAGTCCAGAGTGGAAGGCAGGTGGGCCATGAGTGCTTGTACGGAGGGCGTGGGCAGGCAGCAAGCCATGGTCAGTGTGACCCTGAGGGTGCTGGCCTTGATAGGTCCTACCTGTGCCCCACAAAGAGACCAGCACCCCTGCAAGTGCAGCTTGCAACTGGGAGGCCTGTGGCCAGCCCCTGCACTCTCCCTCCTGGCCACTTCCAGAGCTGCCCTGCCTGGAGGTTCCCTTTGCTCTCCCTCCCTCCTCCTCCCTCCTCCCTGTCTTCCCTTCCTTCCTCCTCTCTCCTCCCTCCCTTCCTTCCTCCTCCCTCCTCTCT